CGGCGGCCGGCTGCTGCAGACCTACGGGGACCCCACCCGGATCGGCAACGTGGGCCGCTTCCTGAACCACTCCTGCCGCCCCAATCTGGTCATGTTGCCGGTGCGGAGTCACTCCACGGTGCCCAGGCTGGCGCTGTTTGCCGCCCGCCGCATACAGGAAGGGGAGGAGTTATGTTACGACTATTCCGGGAGGTCGTTCAACGCGGAACCCGGCGAGGAATCTCAGAGTGCGGGTGAGGAAGGGGGCCCGGGGCCCCGGAAGAGGTGCCTGTGCGGTGCAGACGTGTGTTCCGGTTATTTACCCTTTGACGGTTCTTTGTATGGAGGAGACGCTCGGAAATCTGATCCCGACTGACCCGAGACGTTCCCAAATCGTAAACAATTCTCCTTTTTTTACAATAAAATACTTTTTTTATAATGTCTTCCTCCTTTGTTACGTCTCGGCGCTGCTGATCTCCCGCGGCCTCTTTGCTGCCACTTCCCGTCTACGTGCACTCCGGCGATGGCTGCACGGCATTTCTCAGGGCCAGTTACCTGATGGTGACAACAGTGGACCGTGACTGTGTAATGTGGGTGGAACTGGCCAATTGTAGTCTCCGCGGGAAGCCTGGGTGACAACACGGGAGCACAGTTGTTGAATTAGGACAGAGCGTTGTCACAGGGAGTGCCTGAAGAAAGACCTCCATGGCAGGATCCTCGCTGTGTAATATGGGCTGAAATGTCCTATCACGGTCTCCACGCGAAGCCTGTGCGGCAGAGTGACAACATAGCACAACTAGAAGGCGGCTCAGGGTGTTTTCACCATATAACAGGAAGTCCCTGAACAAAGACCTCCATGGCAGGATCACCAAATCCCCCTGTGTAATATGTGCAGAAATGCCCTATCACAGTCTCTATGGGATACCTGTGTAAAAAGGTGACAACATAAAAGCACAATTAGAAGGGGGCAGGGTGTTGTTCAGGCACTTCCTGTTTTTGGGTGACAACACCCTGTCCCCATCTTCTAATTGTGCTCCTGTGTTGTCACACTGTCGCACAGGCTTCCCATGGAGACCATGATAGGACATTTCAGCCCATCTTACACAGACAGGATTTGGGGGCGCCTGGTGATCCTGCCGTGGGGGGTCCTTGCTCAGGCACTTCCTGTTATAGGGTGACAACACCCTGCCCCCATCTTCTAATTGTGCTCCTGTGTTGTCACACAGGCTTCCCATGGAGACCATGATAGGACATTTCAGCCCATCTTACACAGACAGGATTTGGGGGCGCCTTGTGATTCTGCCGTGTGGGGGTCCTTGCTCCGGCACTTCCTGTTATAGGGTGACAACACCCTGCTCCCATCTTCTAATTTGCGTTCCTACGTTGTCAGCCCGTCACACAGCGTTCTGCATCCACTTCCACTGCGCGTGCTGAGCGCTGACTTGCAGCACAGGCTGAGCAACTGAATACGCCTTCGGTCGCCACGGGAAGCCTGTGTAAATAGGGTGACAACATAAGAGCACAATCAGAAGACGGGGCAGGGTGTTGTCACCCTATAACAGGAAGTGCCTGACCAAGGACCGTCAACTGGCTTAGCCACCTGCATGCTTTATGTAAAATGTTTATAACAAGACGGATTCCTAACAGTATATAAAGCAGATGGCCGAGCCAGGTGAGTCCCCGTTCTGCGAGTTGCTGTGTAGTCTGATCTCCCCGCCGCTCTTCTATAGAATCTTCCCCGGTGAGTATATCATTCGGGATTCCTCCTCATCTGTGACAATGTCACATAGACATCAAAAGTCTCGCTCCGTAATTCCGGGACGATTCCCCTTTAAACATCGCCGGCGGCACAGCTCGTCAGCCGCCATACTAATGACAACGTATCAGTGGCGGCTCTGTGAGCGTCTCCTTTGTATGTAACAAACGTATCTTTATTCCTGTGTACAACGCGCGCGCTCGTCTCTTCCTCCAGCAGGCGGCCGCGCAGCTGCACATCAAAAGGGCCGCGCTGCTTATTATAGCACCTGGGAATCCACCCCCAGAAACCATCTCTGTGTCACTACTTCCTGCCCCCGCCTGCCTCCCTCCCCCACCACACACACACTTCCAACCCGTGAGCAGAGCGAGAGGCGACCGAGAAAAATCACAAAAATTACTTTATTCATACAATTTCTGTACAGAAGGTAGAAAAGAAAAAAATTAAGGGAATTAAAGGGTCGGTCCGCCTAAAGACCGCGCCACCTAGTGGCAGCAGAAAGCAATAGCACCTTGTGGTCTGTGCTGGAGATCCATCAGAAGGAGATGATGCGCTGCGGCTGATTGGAGCCACTAGCACGGTACCAGCTTTTCCCACAGACTGACGCTTTACGGTAAACTTGTCATGGGGGCGGCCATTGATGAAAATGCTAGTTGCCTGGCGCTCATGCTGACCCCCCTCCCCCCCGGCTTCAATGCATTCTGAGTCTCTAATACACAAGTATGGAGATCTGAAAGCATTGTCTGAGGAGAGACAGCCAGGGGGAGAGAGGGCGAGGAGAGACAGCCAGGGGGAGAGAGGGCGAGGAGAGACAGCCGGGGGAGAGAGGGCGAGGAGAGAGTCAGGAGGGAGAGCGAGGAGAGACAGCCAGGAGGGAGAGCGAGGAGAGACAGCCAGGGGAGAGAGGGCGAGGAGAGACAGCCAGGGGAGAGAGGGAGGAGAGACAGTCAGGGGAGAGAGGGAGGAGAGACAGTCGGGGGAGAGAGGGCGAGGAGAGAGCCAGGAGGGAGAGCGAGGAGAGACAGGCAGGGGGAGAGAGGGCGAGGAGAGACAGCCAGGGGAGAGAGGGCGAGGAGAGACAGCCAGGGGAGAGAGGGCGAGGAGAGACAGCCAGGGGAGAGAGGGCGAGGAGAGACAGCCAGGGGAGAGAGGGAGGAGAGACAGCCAGGGGGAGAGAGGGCGAAGAGAGACAGCCAGGGGGAGAGAGGGCGAGGAGAGACAGCCAGGGGGAGAGAGGGCGAGGAGAGACAGCCGGGGGAGAGAGGGCGAGGAGAGAGCCAGGAGGGAGAGCGAGGAGAGACAGTCAGGGGAGAGGGCGAGGAGAGACAGGGAGGAGAGACAGCCAGGGGAGAGAGGGAGGAGAGACAGCCAGGGGAGAGAGGGAGGGGAGACATAGCATCCTCAGAAGGAGAGGTCAGGGTTGGCAGACTCCATGCCAGGTTTCCATGAATACAGCAGATTGGTCGGTGATTGCAGCGCCGGCACTGACAGACAATTATCAATATTCCAAAATTTCCGTCAAACCACAACAGCCAATCAGCATCGAGCTTTCTAGTCCGGTGTCAGATCAGCCTGTCACAGCTCAGCTCTGATTCCATATACAAAGCAGTTTAAGGACAACAGGCAAGCAGCAGGTCATAGAAATCGTACCGGATGCCCATCTGCAACGAGGAAAGTGGCCGCTCCGGGCTCCTCCACCTACACAGGAAGCGGGCCTGAGGGTCTGGCATTGGTGGGGCTCACAATATGGCAAGTCTGGCATTGGTGGGGCTCACAATATGGCAAGTCTGGCATTGGTGGGGCTCACAATATGGCAGCTCTGGCATTGGTGGGGCTCACAATATGGCAGCTCTGGCATTGGTGGGGCTCACAATATGGCAGCTCTGGCATTGGTGGGGCTCACAATATGGCAGCTCTGGCATTGGTGGGGCTCACAATATGGCAGCTCTGGCATTGGTGGGGCTCACAATATGGCAGCTTCGATTGAAGCGCTCAGTTTTGGTTTAAAGAGACACTTTGCCCATTTACAGTAAAATGATGGTGTCTGGGCAAAGAAGCCACCATGACTGACCAATACCTTGCCAGCGCTCCTCCGCGGCATCAGTGCGGCAAAGATACCTGGAGCACCCGAGTATGGGGAAGCATGTGACTTCCACCCCATGACAGTACTCATTGGAGTTCAGCTTCAACATATAGCGCCCCCTCCCATTAGCTGGTGAAATCTGGTATTGCGGCATGAACTGAATTCTCATTCTTCACTTTACAAGGCCGGATGGCGGTCTTGATGTTTGCTCGGTGTGTCTGTGGGGGATGGGTACCTCTTTCCCCTTTAATATTGTACCCGTGTACCATATATTGCGAGTTAATCCTCAGCCTGATAATTCGGGAAAACTGGCTTGGCCGCCATCGCAGCGTCACGCCAGGAACACTTTACGCTCAATAACAAAAATCACTTTTTTTTTTCTGATCGGCTGCTGTGGCTGCGGACGGGCGAAATGATTCTAAATCTTCAAGTCTGTGATGGGACGCGCGGCTGTCCCCGTCATGTGGTGCCGCTACCCTTCGGCCGGGCTACTTGGCGTCTGCGGCGCAGCGGAAGCCGAGGTTGGAAGAGGAGCTGTCCGGGGTGTTCTGGCTGCGAGCCGCACAACGGTACCTGTAGCAGTAAGACTGAGAGAAGGAGAAGATCAGAAGATATCATCATTCCCGCCATGAAACCACAACATTCCCTCCAGGGGGGGGCGTTACAAAACGCATCGGAGTGCACGACCACAAGCAATCCGAGCCGAGGATGTGAGGAAAGAAGGCGCAGGAGTGACCGGGATTCGAACCGGTGACCCCCCCAGTGCTGCAAGGCAGAAGTCTTTACCACTGAGTCACCGTGCTGCCATGTTATACATAATATACATTGTTCAACTTTTCATGTTTTCTGATTATAATGTACAAATCTTCCGGATGTTTTCGGTGCCAATAAAAGCTGTTCGCTTCATCAAACCGCAGGCTGTTGCTGAGCTTGTGATGCTCGACTCACTCCAGTTTGATCTCTGTGCAGCGCAGAGGACGGCAGGAGTGACTCAGGACCCCCAAATATTAGCTAAGGGGCTGATTTATATAGAGTGGTGTGAAACCTGTGGCATCCTCTGCATAGGGAACACTCTGTGGTTGGAGGAAAGGCCGGTCACATGACCTCCTGGCTTAGGCTTTGGAGTCCCAGGACAAGGGAAGAGCTCAGCGCGAGTGCGAGGCTGTGGCCATGGTTAGGGTTAAAGGAGAACTATGAGGGGGGGGGGGCTTTTCACTCACCTCATAGTTCTAGCCGACCTGTGACAATGAGACTGTCACAGGTCGGCTCAGTAGATCGGGAGGTGAGGGAACACATACCGGCATTCGCTCCCCTCTCCATCCTGTCACTGCCCTCTGCCGTGACAGGGGAGGGGCTGGATTCCCCCCTCCCCGATCCTCCAGCGCTGACTGGCGGAACGGACGGGGGAGGGGGCGGGTACAGCTGGCTCTGCCCCTAGATAGGCGGAGCCAGCTGTCAGTCACGCAGCTGGGTGGATCCCGGCATAATTGTCGGGATCCGCTGCAGCTCGCGGTATACTGAGCCTAGGGTGACGGGAGGACGCTAGTTTGTGTCCTCCCGTTACCCTTAGGAGAACTATGGGGAAAAGCCTGAACCCCATAGTTCTCCTTTAAATCAACCCCAATTGTTCGAGGCCTAAGGAGCTCGCTATACGATCATGGTGATATGTTGATCGGTGGTCATTATCACTCACCTTGTGGCACATGTACGATCCGCCCTTCTTCACCTTGTCCTTCCCCGAGCTCGGACCTCTCTGCACAAAAGATGACAAAACTTAAAAATTTACTCCGGGGAGGTCACAACATCTGTCTCCTCCCCATAAAGACATTGTAATTGTGAATATGTTATTGTTCAAACCGACCCAGTTCACTCTGTAGAAGAGAGAGAGAGAGAGATAGGACGGAGGTCAGATAGAAGACTGAAGGGAAGGACGGAGGTCAGATAGAAGACTTAAGGGAAGGACGGAGGTCAGATAGAAGACTGAAGGGAAGGACGGAGGTCAGATAGAAGACTGAAGGGAAGGACGGAGGTCAGATAGAAGACTGAAGGGAAGGACGGAGGTCAGATAGAAGACTGAAGGGAAGGACGGAGGTCAGATAGAAGACTGAAGGGAAGGACGGAGGTCAGATATAAGACTGGAGGGAAGGACGGAGGTCAGATAGAAGACTGAAGGGAAGGACGGAGGTCAGATAGGAGACTGAAGGGAAGGATGGAGGTCAGATAGAAGAATGAAGGGAAGGACGGAGGTCAGATATAAGACTGGAGGGAAGGACGGAAGTCAGATACAAGACTGAAGGGAGGACAGAAATCAGATAGAAGACTGAAGGGAAGGTTTCCTTAAACATATGTAAATGAACGGTTGGTCGCGGTCTATTCGGCTCCGTGAAGATATGAGGTGAATATGGCAGGAGAGGGTCACACAGGTACTGAGCCCTCTCTGGGAGGCGGCAGTGAGTAATATCAGAAGGAGAGGAGGACAACATGTGACCACCGAGCCGCCGGATAGAAGCGCTGGGTGACACCACAGAAGACTCACCGGGTTATAAGCTTCATCCGCAGAGTGTTGGGTGGTCCACCAATCGGCCGTCCATTCCCAGGAGTTTCCCACCATATTGTAAAGGCCAAAACCATTGAAAGGGAAAGCGGTCACCTACAGAGAACAAGAACAGAACATCCGACACTTAGAACTTCGGTCTGATATGTCACACATATATACACACACACACACAGCCACCAAATATGGCGCCATTTATCCGCCTGTCCCTCCAGCACCCTCCTCCCCATCTGCATACCATTCTGTGAGCACTCGTGTCACTTCCCATGATGCATCTGTCTCAGGGAGTCTTGCCTGTGACAATCTTGCAATGCCCCCATGGGAATTGTAGTTGCAGCCCCCTCCGTGTTCGGAGAACTTACTGGTGAAGTCTTCACATATCCATCCTCTGCCGTGTTCTTGTTTGGAAATTCTCCTTGCCAGACGTTGGCGTAATGTTGCCCCTTCGGCTCCAGTTTGTTCCCCCATGGAAAGAGTCTGAGAGAGAGAGAGAAGACGAGTACAAGTCAGTCAGATGATGGCTGGTGGGAGGAGCCGGCAGGGTTCTGTACATAGCTTCCTGAAAACATCACAGCACCCGGCGTCAATACTCCTCTAAAGAACCCTCAGCCCTGAAGCAAGCAGTGGGCGGGCTCTTGGGAGGAGTTATGCAAATATCACAATGTCTTGATGGGTGGATGTCAGTCTGGGAGGAGTGGGCGGTCCTAGGCAGGCCGCATTTGCATAGGTAACACCCACATGTGATGCTGACCCTCCATGATTGAAACGATTGTTTTTCCGGGTAATAAATAAATGGGATTAGTAACGATCTCTGGAATCAGCCGCCTCTCGGCGTTCTCTTCCTGCATCGAGCGGGGAACGTGTTGCTATATTTAGGTCGTCGGCAATACGAAGTGGAACATCTTGCCAAGGCCAAAAAAGAGGTTTTATCATAACCGGCTGGTTTGGATGACGGCAGAATGTTATCAGGCACTTTGCCAGGGGCCCCGCCGGAGGAGAGTCACACCGAGTGCACCCCCACCTAAAGGAAGCAAAGCACATGCTGCCACTGCTGGGCTCCTTCAGTCTCCTGGCTGGCATGCTGATCCTGTGGCTTCAGTACTCAAATCCCTGACCTGGAACGCACAGGCAGCCAGTGAAGTCAGACTTCCATTCTGCACATTCTCTGCTGGACACGGACTGATAGTTATCCGGGGGTCAGGGTGATCCCCTGGCTTCCGATACTCAGGCCTCTCCTACTCCACGACCACTGGGAGATTGTAGTAGGTGTGCAGTGTCTGTGCCCACCCTCCATCATTGCATCACCGCTAGCCACTGACTGCAACCAGGGCCGCCATCAGAAATCATGAGGGGTCCCCCTACGGTCCCCCCATCATTGCATCATCAGGACTCCAGATTTCAATGAGCGCTCCGCTAGCCACTGACTGCAACCAGGGCCGCCATCAGAAATCATGAGGGGTCCCCCTACGGTCCCCCCATCATTGCATCATCAGGACTCCAGATTTCAATGAGCGCTCCGCTAGCCACTGACTGCAACCAGGGCCGCC